TATTAATTACATCATGGCATGCTCTTGCTTAGGAGAAAGAAAGTATGCTTACAGTGCAGTTTCCAAAACTATGACTCCCTCTTATGTTTTTAACCATTGTAGTAGAGCACATTGATACTGCATTTTAAGGATTTAGGACTCTCATCTATTCAGACCTCTTACTTTAAGTATCAGTCTTAGACATTGCAGTGCCAAAAAATCATGGCTCATAATAAGAGTGCTTCAGATAGAAGAAGTCCTTTATATCTTCAATAAGAAGACATTAAGTGTCTTTGAAGAGCTCCAGAAGGTAAAATGAACTGTCTACACCAGTATCTATGACTCTTACTTGACTACAGAAGCCTAATAATCTGGCTCAGATGTGAACATTTGCTATATGACTACAACCCTAGTGTTCAGTGCTTTCATGACTTAGCTGGTACGTCAAAATTAAAATCTCTGAGAAGTGCACATTTAATGTCCACCAACATCCTAATTTACGTGAAAATTAGCATGCTCAATATGGGCCTAAATCAAATACGGATGCAATCACAGAAGTACATCTATCCAAGAACTGTAACATATCAAGACTGTGCTGTTATTTGCATAACACTACGATTTTTTAAATTCTCTACACAACAAGCTGAAAATGTGTGTGTGGGGTTGGGTGTGTTTTGTTGTGTAGCAACTGGAAAATGCAGTTACAGAGGTCTTTTTTTTTTTTTTTGGTAATATTATTTCTGTGATAGAAGCATAAGCCTCCAGCCCTTTCCTTCTTTGAGATGCTTTATTTTGGTTTTTTTTTACTATGAGGTCTTTGAAGCACAGTCTCTCTTCCTCTTTGTTTATAAAAAGTGAATCACATTTTTGGTTTTATCTTATCCTAAACATATTAGGAAGGACAACAGAAAACCTGGACAATATTTTACTGCTAACATTGAGACAAATAATGCAAGTAGGAAACATTTATGGTGATTCTACAGGTATTCACAGTCACATGGCCTTGTTAGTGGAGAATTTTAGCAGTCAAGTCATCACCATCAGAGAGTTGGTTGCGTCAAAGCTCCTCGGTGCTGCTTTCCTTTCAGGACCCTCGCTACTCCTGCCACCTGTCGCTCTTCACCTCTCAGGGTCCTGAAACAATAGTAAGGAAACTGTAAGGAAACAAATCTTTGGAACATATTTCTGTGAAAATGCAGGTCATAAATACTGCGTGCATTTGGGGAAGTGGAAATGAAAAAGCAAGGCAACTGCAACAAACAGGGATGACAACTAGCTGACTAAGCATGAAACCATCCGGGGAAAACCAAAACGAGCACGAATGTGAACAGTGCTGGAAAAAAGGAAGGCTTGGCAAAGGGAGAAATATTGTAGTCTGAAAAACTACATTTTCATCAGTAGAAAATCAGTAGCCAGAGAAGCATTTCAAATTATTTATTTTAATGTCATATTGTAACAAAACTGGCTGTCACTGTTTCAAAGAATCTTTAAACAACAGTTCCACTGATAGGTTTTAGGGAGATACCTTCCATCTTGCTACTTGCTGGTCAAACAGCTCTTTCCCCTGCAATATCAAAAGTGTGCAACACTGATATTCAAAAAATATTCCTATACATCATAAGTATACATTGATGTGTATCATTCTGTTGAACCTCCCAAATGTGTGTAAAGAGGCCAACATGACATCTAAGTTTTAAAATATTAGCTGTTAATACAATGCCATAATTCTTTTTTAAAAAATAATACTTTTTTTCTCCTACTTCTTAAATGAATACAAGGCAGACTTCCAAAGCAGTCTATAACCCAGTAGTATTTTGTCAATAACAACATAGAAAGAACACACAAGATAGAATAATAATGTGAAGCTACTGCTTCTACAAACCTGCCCTGTACCATTTCTGATGTTAGCTTTCAGAACACTGAAATAATTTCAAGAAAGTTATATTTTTCTCCCTAGAAGGTGCCCTTTTCAGTCTGAAAAGATTTGAAAGTAAAATAACAAAAGCAACTATTTTGTGGTGAACAGTTTTTGAAAAAAAAAAGTATTTTCAAAGTATGTTATACTTACAGACCATAAATAATCATGTAGCAGCTCACATTTCTCTGAATCAAAGATACACTTATCCCACTCAAAGTCACAAGGACTACCCCTACACCCATTTATTTTTTCTACCTTTCAACAGAAGTTCCTTTTCTGAGACTGCTATATAATGCAAATTATATTAAGGGTTGGGTTTTTTGTTTTGTGGTTTGTTTTTTTTGTTTTCGGTTTTGGATTTTTTGGGGTTGTTTGTTTTTTTCCAGCTATTCACTGTCTTATTGAGCTGAATGGGTCCTGCCACAAAGCTAGCATTTGACACAAAATTCCAGGCAGCAGTTAGCTGGTGACAGTTTCTTGGTCAGAACTAACTTGGGCTGGATTGTAACTTGCTGTATGCAGGCTGGCCAGGTAGCCCCTGTAAACCAGGTCCATTTAAAATGTCTTCTCACTCAACTTGACAAAGTAATTAAAATATTAGATGCAAAAAATATGTCACTTTCCAATCATTTGGTAGAAAAAATGTTTCTTGGCGTAGAGGATACTCTGAGGCCCCTGAATGTAAAGTGCTTCAGAGTGCCTTGGTTTCTTTGCTAATGGAAAATGCCTGTTGTATCAGGGGAGAAATTGGGACAGAGCTTAATCCCTGAAGTATTGCTATGAACATCTTAAGGGAATGGTGGAAAACAGACAAATAGAAGATTATACTGTCGTCACTGTGAATAACTAAAGCTTGTCTTGCTCTCTGCTCTCCGAAACAGCTCCAAGCCTGCTTGTAGCCTTTGCCCAGCCCAGAGTTGCACTCCTCGGTATGGTGAGGATGGAGCACCTGCACAAGAGGTGGAGGGAGAGGGATGAGAAGACGGGGAGACGGGCAGAGGGGAGAGGCCAGAAAGCGCAGACCTGAGGGACGGACGCGAAGGGAGAGGGATGAGGGCAGGGAGAGCGATGGGAGGGACGGGCCGGGACAGGCGGAGCGGAGGAGGAGCCGGTGGAATCGCTGCTGGGGGAGCCGCGGCGCCC